AGAAACACAAGATGTCCACACAAAGAGGCCACAGAGATGTATAAATTACAAAAGCAAGTCCCAATTACACATCTTGAGGTTGAGCAACATATACATTATGATACCTACAACCCAACAAGGAAATGCAAGGACGCCTATCCTTGGCTGCTAACCAACCAGCTAAACGTATGTTTACCAAACCCAACCTTAGTTCGTCTAATTCATAACAGATATCAAAAGTAGAATTAAATCAAGTAAAGCAAAACAAAATCCAGATACCTGAACATCATCAAAGCTCCAGCGGTTGAACAGCTTCACGTCAAAGTGAGGCTCCGTTGGTTCCACAACAGAAGCAGCTACGACAGGAGCAGCTGGGATAGGAGCATCTACGGCAGGAGCAGCCATGGTTCTGTATAAACACAATTAAAGCAACAAAACCTGTTAACATTTGTTAACAACAGCGGGGACTAGAATCAATGCTGCAAATTAATTTTTCAATTACGAGAATTCCATATCAAAGTGGATGGAGTAAATGTATAATTAAAAAATGAGATTAGGGTAAACATTGAATCAAGCTTTTTATAAAAAATATATATATATTAATATTAAAAAAGGGAGAAGCAAAAGGGAAACCTCAAAATTTTGCGATTCTTAGTTTCATAGCTCAATTCACAAACCCAACAAAAAATTTCAAGCAGAATTCTTGTTTCTTTTAATACTTTTAGCTTTATCTAGGTGCAGCAAAATCAGTATGTAAGAAGCATTAAAAAAAAAAAAAAAAAGCCATCAATAACAAAATACAAAGAACTGTATGGCTCTCTTCCATACAAAACAATAAACCCACCCCAAAACCCTAGCACAATCTTATCTACCCGAGGAAGTAGCAGAGATGGATGAGAGAGGTAACCACAGACCTGGAGGTTGGAGTTTCAGAAGCTTGGAGATGACAGAGCAAATGGCGCCTGGAGTGGGTTCCGAAACGCTCAAGACAAGAGAACGGCGCATGGGAGAGGAAAAAGTCTTTAATCAGCTAGGGTTTGGGTTTTAGGTTACGTTTACTATTTTACCCTTCCTCATTTTGTTTTTATTTTTGTTTTGTTAAAAAATCATATCCTCTGTTTTTCACTTTTATTTCATTTTTTTCAAACATGATCATAGAAGCTGCGCGGCTATACCTTTTTTGACACGTAAGCCCCTTTTTTTTGGGTACTAAATAATGTAGCCATGCGGCTATGCTGTCGGGTATTCTTCAACATAGTAACGCCGGGCGGCTATACTCGGGTTTTTTTATTTTAAAAAATAGTATAGCCGACCGGCTTTACGGGGGTAAGGTATAGCCGCGCGGCGATGCTGTGTTGACACGTGGACGCCTAATCGCTAGGCGGGGCTTCTTTTTTTCTATAAATAGTACAGTCGCGCGGCTATACTGTACCTTTTTATAATTTTTTTAAAGATAGTACAGCCGCGCGGCTATACTCTGTTTGTTTTTTTTTTTTTTTTTTTTTCAGGTTTAAAATGACATAGAGGTTGTTGGGTTTCCAGATTTTTTATTTATATTTCGTTATTTTATTTGTAAACCGAACTTAATAATTTTTTTATTAATTATTTTAACGGTAGTTTGATAGAGTATAGTAACATTTAACCCCTTTTTTTTAAGGGAGTTTCACTAAAACACCCAAAATGGGGGTTGAAATTATAAAAAAACCCAAGCACTATTTAAATATATAAACACACCCAAAACCCATTATTACACACACTCAAAACCCATTTATAAACACACCCAAAAAGTTGACTTTGGGGTTGATTTTGGGTGTGTTTCTATGTTTAAATAGTGCTTGGGTTTTTTTATAAATACATGTTTAGGATTGGGTTTATTTATAAATTTGTATTTTTTAAAATCATATACCCGTGCGGCTATAATGTGGTTTTTATTTATAAGAAAAATAGTATAGCTGCAAGGATATACGTGTTTTCATGTGGGTCCTTGTTTTACAAATAGTAGCCGGGCTGCGATACCTTTTTGACACGCGGTCCCTTTTTTATAAATAGTCTAGCCATGCGGCCTTACTACGGTAATTTTTTATAAAAAAATCGTATAGCCGCAGGGCTGTCCTCGTCTTGCCACGCGGGCAACAACTCACTCGGCGGGTCCACCTTTTTCCTATAACTATAGCCGTGCGGCTATACGCAGGTTTTTTTTAAAAGAAAAACAGTATAGCCGACCGGCTTTATGAGGCTCTTTTTTATATATTTTTTTAAAAACACTAGCCGCTCGGCCTTATGACAGTTTTTTATTATTAAAAACTTAGTATAGCCGAGCGGCTGTATTACAATTTTTTAAATAAAAAATTGTATAGCCTTCTGGCTATACTTGTTTTCTAGTGGGGTCCTTTTATTTTTTATTTTTTATGAATAGTATTTTGCTGAATATTTTATCGTCTTTTCTCATTCCGTATTTTACTAACTATTAAAGAATGTGAGTGGCAAAGATTAGTTTTTACTTCTTGTAACAAAAATGCAAGATGGTAATTTTGCAATCTCTATGCCCAGCAGAAACAACAATTTCAAACAAATATTTATGGGTATAGTAGTAAGAGATGTTGTAGTATTCTTTATGTAAAGTGTTGTGTGAAAAGTGATGCAATTACCATGAACACTCTAACTAAGCATGCAATTCCTTATGACAAATAATGTGTGCAGTAACATAATTTAGTTTTGTTGGTTTTGCAAGGCATTGCAAATATGTTTGAGTTCCCACATTGGAACTTGGAACACTAGAGTTCTTTGGAGGTTTTTATAAAACTTACTCTTGGAAATAAAATAGTTTGTATTGGCTATGCAAGTGGCTCAATTGAGTAACTTCTAGGTATGGCCAAGGATTAAAATATCGGCCGTGCAGATAATATCGGGCCTCCAATTTACGGATATTTCGAGGGATATATCGTTATCGTTTTGGGTATCGGGAAAAATCAACAAAAATGACAGATATAGGCATTGAAACACATAATTTTGGTGTAAAACTTTCATAGATGTTATGTAAATTGTCAATGAATGTATTGAACAAATAAAACTCAAAATTTACTAATAATAAGATATATATATGATGAAATATAAGTGGTATGTAATACGCGTTAATGAAAAGTTTGAAAATAAAAAGTTGATTAGAATGAATAAACCACGCATAAATCCATAGTTTATTTGAACATTGGATTACAATTTAGATGAGTGTCCAACTACATAAATGAAGAGCTCCTATGAGGTTCAAACAATGTGGAACAACCATCTAGATTCATACAATAATCATACAAAGTCATGTAACCCGAGTAGTTTGTAAGCCATGTTTGAACATGGTACACATATGTCTCTCTTGAGCTCCCTACTGTCATCTCATATATGGGATAGTTAGGATTAACCCAACTAAAAGGTCCATAATCTGTTTCATAATCTTGAGCTCCATATCTAGTTCCACTATAATCAGACATGACATAACCATAGCCATCATAAGATTCATTTGAGTTAGTACTAGGTCTAGATTCTTTTGATGCATACTCTAAAACATGCATACTCTAAAACATCTTTTGAATTGAATATTGCCAAAAGCCTTTACACATATATCTAATCACTGCACATATACCTCCAAAAAATCTTTTTAGTTTCAATTTGCTTCAAAACTTTTGAATTTTTTTGGGTTTTGTTATGGGTATCGGAAAATATTGGGAATATCGGCAAAATATCGGGCATATCGCACTTATCGGGGATATATCGTCGATATCGGGGAAGATATGACCTTACCCCCCAATATCGGTGTCGACAGTTCAAAATATCGATATATCGGCCGATATATCGGTGTATCGGCCAATACTTCAATCCTTGGGTATGGCATGTGGTTAAATGCCTAATTAATTATTTGAATTATTTTTAAAATTCAAATATCATATAATGTTTTTGTTTGATTGAGTTTGTCCTTATCCAATACCTATTGGAATAGGTATCAACCACTCTATTTAAACACAAGCCTTGCATCTGTACAATTACATCAAATTCTCGGAGAACATTCATATGATAATTCTTGTATAGCCTTAGAGATAAACACAAAAATTTTGCCATAAATCAAAGCCCTAGTGCTAGGATTTTGATTTAGATAGTTGTATCCTGCTGGAGCAAACGCGTAGAACTACAAGCACTAAGTAGGGGTGAAATTCTGTTTCAAGGACATTGTAATTGTGCAAGCCTCTCTATCTGCAAGAACAGTCGATTTTTAATCTATTGCCATATTTAATTTCATAATTCTATTTGTTGTTTAATTAAATTATTATAATAACATTGATTGTTGTTCCTCCAACAAGTTTCACTCGAGAGAACGAGTTAGATCAGCAAACATTCCCACACAAAAATAAGCATAAAAAATTGAAATCTCATATTGATTTATTTGGAAATTTATCTCTCTTCAATATCTGCTTTGGATATGTTGAAACTAATTAATATCAATAAAGTATAAACTAATGCAACTAGGTTTAGATCGGTCAGTTTTATCAATTCGGTTTAGATCAAAATCAAACCATTTGACTTTTTCTTAATCAAAATCCAACCAAATCAATAATTACGGTTAAGATCGGTCAGTTTCATCAATTCGGCCGATTGATGCCCACCCCTTTGAACCCCTTTGAAGGGCATGGCTAGTGTCACATTGACATAAGTTTTTTCTTTCTCGAATATTCCTAGATGGATTTGGTCAATATGTTGCTCAATTGCTCTCTTTTTTTCGGTTGCAAAAGTGAGGAAGGGGGAGTGGGAAAAACTCACACACATAGGGGTTTAAATGCAAAACCACTTAAGAGCACACCAAAGACATTAGTTAATCCAACTAGCACCCCATTAGTCAGTTCACTTGAGATGATATGGGTTTCCTTAACCGTGAATATGATCGTGATACTTGAGAGTTTCACATTGTGCAAGGAAAATTGTGTGCACTTTCAGAAGGTCAAATGTCAATTAGAGGAGAGCAAAAGGAACAACACAAATTTTAGAAATATTTGTAACTCCTGTTCTTCCATTCATATTTTTTCTAATTCTCGATATTGTCTTGGTCACATCCTAGAAATTAAACAAAAAATATGAGAAAAACAAGCATCGGCCATTTTTCATGAAACAAAACAGAACTAGCTAAAAATCTTGAAAAATAGGAGCTCGCACAGTGAGATCATTTGGAGCTTCCTTTGAACAGCAAATGACAAGATACTCATAGGTTTCGGCAGCCCCTTAACGGTTGGCCTTGGCAACTCTTTCAATCTCATCCTTCTTCTTTATAGCGTAACTGAGCACAAACAGACCAACCAATTGTCAGAAAAGTATCAAGTTGAAGCAAAATGAAATCAGACTAAGCTAAACATAACAAATCAGAAATAAACAATGAGATAGATGAGATTTTGGAGAAAATCACAATTATATGAAAATAAACATAAAGAAAGCAATGTATCAGTACCTGTTAGATGAACCTTTTGCAGCATTAATCAGTTCGTCGGCCAAACATTCTGCAATAGTTTTGATGTTTCTAAAAGCAGATTCACGAGCACCAGTTGTAAGGAGATAGATAGCCTGATTCACGCGTCTCAAAGGTGAAATATCCACAGCCTGACGCCTAACAACTCCAGCAGATCCAATACGAGTTGCATCTTCTCGTGGACCACTGATGGTCACAAAGAAGACATACAATTAGAATCAGTATTTCCATAAGGGTCACCATCCATTGTGGTTATGGTACCCACAAGACTTCCAAAATCAGAAAGTAATCAGGATCAATTTTATTAAAAGACCACTTGAGGTTCCCCTCCAACATCAATACCTTCTACCGACCCTAAGCACAAGGCAAGTATGCAATTACTATGAGGAATATAATAACAAATTTGCATCCACTTACCTATTAACAACAGCGTCAACAATAATTTGAATAGGATTCTGATCAGTCAGCAAATGGATAATTTCCATTGCATGCCTAATGATCCTTACAGCCATAAGTTTCTTCCCATTGTTCCTGCCGTGCATCATGAGTGAGTTTGTAAGCCTCTCCACTATAGGGCACTGGGCTTTCCTGAATCGTTTGACTGAGTACCTCCCGGCAGTGTGAGGTACATAAGTTGCATGCTTGGCTGGGGCAACTCCAACGTAGTCCGCCAGTGAAATGTCACTGACCTATATGTTACAAATAACATGATTATCATTTTAAATACATAAGGGAAATAGATTTGAGTATTTGTATAACACATATGAAAATTATCTAAACGTCCATAAAACTTTACCAAAATAAATTATTTTAAAAAAAATGGAAAAACTTAAAATCAGTGTAGAGATGAAGCCAAGGGCACCAGACAATAAGAAAATCAACTGTTAGCATTAGCCTACTAAGTTACACCTACTGTGAATCAAATCAACACAAGGACACACAGGATGCACTTATTACAAATCTAAAACCTAACAAAAGCCAGTCCAAATTACCAACATTTAGTAACATATACGCTATGTTTTCTTCCGACTACCCAACAGGGTAAACATGCATCTAGACAGTATTTAAGAGCTCAAAGTACAGCTACATTAAAACAAATGAATCACTAAAACATACAGCGAATAATTAGATTCGAGATAAATTAATTTTATCAAACTCAACCCCAGCTCATCTGATTCATTACATCTTATGAGAAAAAACTAAAACTAAATCAATTAAAGAATAAAACCCATAAATTAAAGCACTGGGAAAGAAATTTATGGGATCTTTTTTAAAAATAAATTTTATCTACTTCCAGCTAACTTAATCGATATTGAACAAATAGCAAATCTATAATCAATATATACATTTAAAACCCCATAAAATTCCATTGATGATATTGAAATGCACAAAATTGGATGTAATGGTTACAAACCTGAACATCGTCGAAGCTCCAGCGGTTGAACAGCTTCACGTCAAGGTGAGGCTCAATTGGTACCGTTGGTGCCGTTGGTGCCGTTGGTTCCACTGCAACAGACATGGCTCTGCATAACGCAATCGAAGATCTAAGATTAGAGTGTTCAATTGAAAAAGAGGTTGGTTGTGATTTTTAATTTCTTGGTTCAATTAATATACCCGCTGAAAATTCAAGTATAAAATGTAAAAGGAATTTCATTGTAAGTAACAACGACGGATGATAAAGCTTACCTCTTTGTCGGAGGTTGGACCTTCAGACGAGAATGCGAGAGAGCTTGTACAGAGTGGTGCTGAACACAGGAAAACCCTAGTTCATGTTTATAAGGATGACTGACCTGAAAATTACCTTAAGGTCCTTTAAGGGTAGTAGGGTCTTTTCGTTTTTTTTTTTTTAATAGATTACAATGTTTGAGATTCATCAAACTTCAAATTAATCTCTCTCTCTCTCTCTGGTTTTTATTGCTAGATTAAGCATTGCCGTCTCTTCAATCTCTCACCCATAATAGAAAACACGATCATCCCTTCATTTTCTTACTAACGGAAGTCTCATCACTATTCTTAGTATTGATGAAGGTGGAATAAGAGGGATTATCGCATGAGTTATACTTTAAGTTCCTAAAGTCTGAGTTTCATTGACCAAAAAAAAAAAAAAAAAGTCTGAGTTTCGTGTAAAAAGATCAAAATCAAAGCTTTATAATTTATATATGTTTAGCGGGATTATTAATTGTGAGCAATATATAGTATCAAACTTTGTTCACCAAACAATGTTTCATTCATTAAAATATATGACTAATATGCAATTTTGTTAGTTAATAGCATGTTATACGAACTTATATGATATAATATAGTGACATGTGTAACACTAAGTTCATATGTTATGGAGAGTATAACATAGATAAATAAATATGTGCATTACAATATGAGTGGATTAGTCAAGCCATCACGTGGTGTTACGACTTATTTTTGCTTTACTTGTTGACTATATGCACAAGCTGGATGGTAAGCATGTAAGGCTCCCAGATTATTTTCATGTGGAGGGACGAGCACATGTGGCTTTTCGGCGGCCATACTTACTACACCAGAGGACAATAATCATCGCTTGTATGCTGCTAAAGATATCATATCTTTTTATCTCGAACACTGCCCTAAAATTAATTGTACAACAACGTGGTTTATCTCTCAACAATTAAGTTTAAGAATGTTTATGTTTGTAGTGATCGCATAAATCTTCTTAGGCCCAGTTTGGGATTGCTGTCACTTTTAAAAAAAAGTTGTTTCTGCTGTGTTTTGAAAATAATTAGCTATCAAGTAAAGCAGTTCCATGTTTGATAAACAATTTTTTTTAAGTACTATTTGTACAAAAAACAGTGTCAAAACCGTTTGGTAAATTTTAATATAAAATTATTGTAATTGTGAATAATAATTAAAATATACATGATGTTAAAAGTGTTATGTACTAATCATGTGGTAGTAGTGTTGTGATGGAGTGAAGGTGGTGGTGGTGGTGGTAGTGTTACTATGGTGGTGGTGGTGGTGGTGGTGGTGGTGGTGGTGGTTGTGGAGGTGGTGGTGGATGTG